ATCAGAATAGAATTTAATTAATTAAGTTCAGATTCGATCAATTAATAATACATCAAGTTTTTATATAATTATATAAGAAATTAAACTAGTAATAGCTATTTTGATTCTGCGTATCCCTCTTCAAAGACCCGCCTGAGTAGTATAGTTAATCTTATACTCGTATACAGTGAGTGTTACACCAATACCTACCGCGTTTATTCGGTTTGTCTATCTTGGCATTCAGCAATATGAACTACGGAGTAATAATATCATTCTAATTTATATCTATACGTACTCGGTAAGGGTATAGTCCATCCCGCAGTATTTGCTATATGTTTCATTCGGGACTTTCTCTCATTTAGATCATTTGCTTATTTGCTTGTTTTGGCCCCCTCTTGATATATGATCTCCTGTACCCCGCAAAACTAACCTCCTTGCGATGGCGATGCTACTTTGTCTTGTCACTAATACAGGTAGGTACTGACTGTACCAGTGGTATATTCATCAACATCACTAGATAGTTGCTGCGAGAGGTATGCCGGTATCTGGACAAGAACTTAATCTCTTTTTATCTCAACTCAAACAAAGGCATCAGAAAGTCTAATTGTAAATGCCGAGTCTCATATATTCTTCATTGCCCAAGGATTTACTTGGTCGTTTTCCCGCAAAACAAGCACGTTTGAGGTTCTAAACACCTTTTCAATGATCTAGATTGATGATCGTCGCGCTATAGTTTGCTCAAGTATAATTGTTGATCCTTTCGCCTTATTTCCATTGTCATAAGGTTTGACTCCCACTCACTGTCCACCGCTACTGTAGTTGTGGAATCAATTCGCAACAATCACATCACTCACTGCACAGATCTAGATCAAAACACCTCCTCTCCATTCGCATACATTATTCCTCACATCTTCGCGATCACCACGCCATGCGGGATATGTGTCTCATATTCCATCTTCCATCTATCCATTTCTAGTATTTCCTCGCATTTCCAGAATAATCCAGTTTAGTTTCAACCACGGGCTCGGAAAACCCCCTGATTCTTAATAAAATTAATTCCCCGGGGTCTTGTCTTGCGGTACATCTATCGGCGCACATATCTCCGCTACGAAGTCCAATCCTTTCTACCTCACTGGTCTACAGTATCTAATTACCCACCCCCCCCTCAAATTTTTCGCAGCATCCGCTCATATCGTCCGCCCGTACAATGCTATTCTCCCGTCACCAATCCGTTTCCTTCCTTCCGCATTTCTCACGTCAGCCATAGACTCGGGGCTTGCTCACTGTATGTTTCTGGGATCAATCTACCCGCATTCGAGAGTACGAAGCGGTGGTCAAACGTTTTTTCCTTTTCCACGGATGATAACGTGCCGGTATTTGATTTCAGTCCGCCAACTATCTACAGTGATCAGTCAAGTAAGCTTGTCTGAAGTTAGATGAATAAGCTCAAGACAAAATGAACCAGAGAGTTCTCGCTAGGTTCCAGACTACTGTAATCTTTTGATGCAGATTAGGATCGATCGTCTTGAAATAATCTTCGAATATCTTCTTCAGAAATAATTATGATCTTATCTTCTGGAAAGGGAAGTCTTCACCTTGGGGTATTTCAAAAAGTCGCAACATTCTGTCGACGCTGTCGATATATCTTATATAGTTACTAGGTAGTTGTAAAACTTCCCGGTCTCCACATCGTTGAATAATTTGGTGGTTTCTTTCTACTCATAGGGATTTACGCATGCTCAATCAACAATCCATTTGAACCGTCAAAGATCGAGAGGAACCTAGATTGCTGAACCCGAGTCTGATAGCGAGCTCAAAATCTCAGTCATGAAATGAAGCCCAATGTCACCTTGATCGAATTAGATTCTGACTTTAGGATGTGCTGGAGGTCGGATTTCATATACGAGTATATGGTTGATTGATTACTTGCTTGGTGATTCATTATATATATACTATAGTATACTAAGTGTTTATACTATCCCAATCCCATCCTATACACACCCATCCAATACTATACTACTGTATACAATCCTATATGATAATCTAAAGCAATCACAAACGAACCCTTGGTTCCCCGAATGCCATATACACCCCCAATTCCAATCCAATAATCCAAATCACATCATAACCTTTCCCCACTTTCCCTCCCTCCCCCAAGCAAACTCAAACACAAACAAATACAAACTCAAAATCGCTCACTCACTCACTCCCCCGTCAAATCCAAAAACTCCACCTCCTCCACCCTCCAAGCTCTACTCCTCCCCTCAATCAATTCCTCCCTGCCCACTTCTCTCCACGACCCTGGTAGTGATTCCCGCAACATGATGTATCTCTTTGTATTCTGATTCGTATTCGTATTCGTATTTTTATTCTTGTTGCGTTGCTTCTCCTCAAGACTCTCTTCTGATACATCTTCGCTAATCTCAGCTTCTACCCTTTGTTCCCTAATTGTTTGGACATCGGGTCTGGGTTTTTGACGCCGAGAAAAGGAAGATTTGGAGGGAGATGGTGAGGGAGATTGAGTGATATTGTAGATGGTGGTGTGTACGTTGATGGCGGTGTGGTATGAGGGCGTGCATGTATATGTATCGGGGTGTTGGGGACTGTTTCTCATCATGAGTGGTGAGCTGGATGGAAGGACGAGTTTGGGATATCCAGGGGATTCAGCGTGGTTTGCGCGTAGAGGCTCGGGAATGTAGGAAGATGCTGGAGATCTTGGGGACGCGGGAGACACTGGAGATGCTAGAGATACTGGAGACGAAGAAGTAAGATCGATGACCCTCCCTGGCGAATGACTGTGCAAAGGAGCTGTCTTATATGAAGATTGAGAGACAGATGAGCCACCTGAGGATGAAGATTGATGACCCGAGGAATGGAGTGTGAAATCAATTTTGCGGTTTACGGCTTGAGGAGTGAGAGGTGTGCGAGTATATTTGCTTGTATTGAGGGTTGCCGGGGGTGAAGAAAGACCTGATTTTGTGTTGATTTGGGGTGGAGAGCGCCTTTTTCTGGGAGAGAGGCGATCGACGTAAACGGGGGCTCTAGTAGGTGGTAAAGACAGTTCGTCGTCTTCATCATCACTGAGTGGAACGGGTCGATGTTTTCGCGTGGAGAGTGGTGTGGGAATAGACTGACTTTCGGGACTTGAGCTCAAGGAAGCGTAGTTTTGTAGTGTTTTAGTCGAGGTCACGGGATTTCGAAGACGCGAAGGCTTCGTTATTTGAGGTAAAGGTTGAGAAGTGGATGGTTGAGATGCAGCCCATGGATTTAACTTTGGCATTTCCTTCTCTTTGATAGTAGCTGGTTTCCGGCCGCGTGTGAGCCGCTTTCTCGCCATTGTTGGTTCCGGTAATTTAGGGCTGCTAATACCTGGAGCTAAGAATTGAGGTGGCATATCTTCTTCCAGTAGTTCGAAATTCCGGGCAGTTTGACTTGATGCTTTAGTCATGGTCCTGGAGCTTCGTTCTGAAATCTCGACATAACGAACCAGTGCACCTTTAGTCATTCCACCTGCAGCTTTAGAACTCGCTTTAGACTTTGTAGTTTTAGCTTCTGCTCTTTTCGCAGCAGCCTTCTGCTTAGAAGCCTTTTCGGGATTTCGCAAGGCTTCTTCATAATCCTCTACAGTGAGTGGTACGCCAACTTTAATGATCGTCTCAAATACCCATAATTTATCTGCTTTTGTGGGATCATATGGAGAAGGTCCTCGCCTTCGTAGAGTATCGGTTGTAGCTGCATCATCCGAATCGTATGATTGTATCTGATCATCCTCAAGAAGAGGGGCAAGTCCATCTCTTCCATAATCTTCGACCTCATCATCTTCTTCGTCCAGATCAATATCAACAATCTCCAGAGGTTGATAAATGACTCTCATTTCTGGAACTTCATCGGTGGTGACATGTTTCCTTTGACCGCAGATAGCCTTGACTAATTCCATCTCATTAAGCTTGGTGAGCATGGAGTCATTATACCCGGAATTTCGGCGATCTCCACGTTGACGGAGTTTTGTTATTAATAACACTGGTGCTAAACCTCGTACGAATTTCTTAGCCCCTTCTTTCCCCTTCCATTCAAATGCATCGGCCACGAAAAGTCGGAGCTTTGCGGTGTCAATATCCCCTTCCCACTCGATCTGATCCCGAAGTCTCTCAACCCTCGCTAAAGAAGAAACGACTGGATGTGTATAATATCCCAAAACTTTCCGATCCGGGAAATCTACAGGAATCTGTAGGGCCTTCCGTTTGGTTTTAAAGAATTTGCTTTCGTTCGTATATAGCTCGTGGGCCAAATTCGCTCTCCACTCATCGTATGCCACAACATCCTCTCTACGAATTTGACACAATCTCTTTCCAAAGCCAGCTCTAGCAGCTTCACAAGCAACTTTCACACCGCATCCAGGGATTCCTTCGGTCTTGTAGTCACCGCCACTCATCAAGGCCACCAAAATCATGCCTTCACGGTCCAGTCCAGATTTACCGGCCTTGGTTGCTTTGGAATCATAAGCATTAACGTGTGTTGGTATACCAGCACCACTTTTATTTTCCGACGACCAACTTCGGAATGTCAATCCACTTCCAAACATAAGCGTATCGACATCCTCACTGAGAACGGCATCAACGACCCCTTTACGCTGGAGAAGGGCACATTCTGCTTCAGCTTCCCCAGGAGCAATAATATATGCAAAGCCAAATAATTTGAGTAGCTCCTTGGTCATCAAATCCGGGATGGAAGCACCGCCTCGACCTGTTTGCTTATTACGCTTAACAGGTGGTTTGTGAGGTCCATCGAAGACAAATAATGGTTGCACCGCGATGGAAAGAAGTCTGAGAAGTCGATAGTACAGAGTCCGTAATGCGGGATTGGTTCCACCTATATCATATCATATGAGTTAGATGTTCCATGATCATGTGCTGATCAGCTTACCTTGGCCAGCCTGTATTTGAAAGCTCCAAATTGATATATCAATTGCGATCCTCAAGGGAACTCCGGTTTTCTCAAACTTTTCAATTGAGATCTTGGAAAGCGCCACTCTTTCACCAGGCCCAATTTCCCCGTAGATTCTGTGGGTTTTATCAGTACATGGAGCTTACAGTGTAGATATTGTATCGTTACTCACCCTTTGATACCCATGATGTGCAAGTATTGTATTTACAAGAGGAATTCAAAATGTAGCCAACGCAGTTTATCAATTTTAGTTTCAAAAAGCATACATGATAATAACACTGCTACAAGAACTCAAAAACTATATTTGTACAAGGTAGAAGACGAAGATGAGATGAGATGTGGTCGAACAGTAATGCTAGTGAATGATATGAAATGAAAGAAAATTAACAAAGAGTTATCCTTGTTGAAATTTCTCGTTGCCACAGCAATGAACCTCAAAGCTCTGACAACCACCAAGAACTTATGGATAATTGTTAGAGATATCCCTGGTAAAATTGAATGCCGGAGTAATAAGTCATCATAGCAATATGTCAAATCCAACGGGTCCTGCTCATCGCAGTATAGAACAATACCGCCCATCAATTATTCCTCAAGAGCGTCCCCCAAGACCTCCGCATACCCCTCTTCGACGACAAATCTCAAATTCATTTGGCTCGCCATCCTCTTTGCGTGCAGAGGAGGAATGTATAGTGATTGAAATCGGATGTCGATATTTGAAGGTCGGCTTCGCAGGCGATGCAGGACCTAAGGCGGAGGTAGATTTCGGGCCAGAAGAGCAGAGAAGAGTGGGAGATTATAGAAGATGGCAGCCCGGGTATGATAAGGCTTGGAGGGAAAGGATGCATGGGAAGAAATGGGGCGAGGCACATGAGTTGTGGAAGTTGGATTTGAGGGATGTGGATTTGGGGTTGGTGGGAGATAAGATTGAAAGGGCTATGAGGGATGCTTTTACAAAGTTTGTAGAGGCTCTCCTAGTATTGATACTGGGAATGGTACTGATCATGGCTTTGCAGATTCCTACTTATTGATTCGAGGCCGAAAAAAGTGGCTTTAGCTCTTCCGTCTACACTACCGTCGCCTCTACTTTCCACGATTTTAGACACGATGTTCACGAATTTTCAATCTACGAATATATCCTTGCATTCTGCACCAGCACTCACGACAGTAGCTGCAGGTCTTCGAGCCGCTTTGATTGTCGATATTGGTTGGGCTGAGACTATTGTCACCGGCATATATGAATTTCGAGAAGTATCGAGTCACAGATCTATAAGGGCAACCAAGCTTTTAGGACATGAGATGCGAAAATTGTTGGCCAATTCATGTGATCCGAAGATATTACAGCGAGAATTTACAGAGGGCCAAGAAAATGTGGCATTGGAAGAATTCATAAGTTTTGAGGAATGCGAGGAAATAGTCAATCGGATGGCATGGTGCAAACCATTTGCCAATTTTACATCGAAGACTACACCCGAAAGTGGTCTCGCGCCTTTGGAAGAAGAAGACGAATTACAAGCCAGCTTGCGGTCCCTGAATATCTCTACAGATTCAGGTTCCGATCCCATAGCCATAATACCCCTAAGATCTACCCTCCCATCACGAACCATACGTCTCCCCTTTTCCAAGCTTGCTCAACCATGCGAGGAAGCCCTCCTAGCGACCTATATTCCCATCCCTGAACTCGACGATAATGAACTCCCCATCCATATTCTCCTCTACCAAGCTCTTCTCCGCCTTCCTGTCGATCTGCGCTCTGTTTGTATGTCAAGAATCGTGTTCGTTGGCGGTGGCTCAAATATTCTTGGATTGAAAGCAAGGATTCTCGATGAAGTGAATGCACTTATCGATGAACGAGGCTGGGATCTCGTCCAAGGGAAAGCAGTCTCTCAATACCAAACTAATCCCAAGCTTACTCGACCCCGAAAATCTCCCTCCTCATCTATCGAGATCCCATCATCCCCTCCATTATCTCCATCATCTCCATCCTCACCGACCACACCTCGACCCCCTGTCCATATCCCCGCAGGCCATCAATCTCCCGAACCCGACTCAATAGCATCTACTATCAATGCTAAATCCGGAAGAAACGACATCGAGGAAGAACGAGGTACAATCAGAGCAGTAGAAAGTTTAGGAGCATGGTCAGGCGCAAGTTTGATATCACAGTTGAAGATCCCAGCAGTGAGTTCAGTGGATCGAGAAATTTGGATGCAACATGGTATGGCGGGAGCGAACCGAAATGCGGAGGTTAGTGTAGCTGCAGGAGCAGGAGCAGGAGGAAGGGGTAGTATGGGACCCGGGGCGTTCAAAAGCGGAACTGGGGAAAAGGGGTGTTGGACTTTGGGATTGTGGGGGTCGTAATATGTAAAGGTCGAGTGCTAGTAATGAAGTGGATTAGAAATGATGAGGTAATCCCTCCATATTTGAATACCTAGGATGAAAAATGATTGTCATGAGTAAGTAAGTAAGTGCTCGTCTTGTTTGTCTTAAATTTACAAAACAATTCAGAGCTCGGGTAGTGTATGTATGTATTTATATATATATCCTTATTCCTGGGTGTATGTATGTAATAGACTCTTTCAATACTGAGTACTCGTAAATAGCGAGATCTTCAAGCCAGGCTCAGGAGTCCATATATAATACTTTGTAGTTCTTAATTTTATATCTTATATTTCTTATTTCATATCTCATATTTGTTTCACCTACCAGTATAGTATAGTATACGTACATATATGTATGTAGAGTCCATCCGCAACACGAATACCGGTACTCTCTCTCTCTCTCTCCCTCCCTTCTTTGCTCCTCTATTTATTACTTCTATCTATTATCCCTATCCCTATCCCTATCCATCATCCTGGATACTCACCAAAGAACCTCCCAACTCATCAACTCACGAAAAATAAAATAAAAGTATCCCCCCAGCCCTTCACCCCCCCTCTCTCTCTCGCTCACTCTCTCACTCACCAACCAACCAACCGGTACATACCATCCACTTGGTCATTCATTTATTCCTTCTTTCTCAAGCTCAACCCTTTTCCCTTCCCTTCCCCTCTATACAACCACAACCACAACCACACAAATCCAAATCCAAATCCAAATCCAAACCCAAATCCAAACCCAACCCCAAAGATCTCACCATCCCAGGCATCCCCAAAAGAATAAATACCTACCTACCCATCGCATCACATCACATCACATACCCAAACTACCTACCACATATCTCTATCTATCCCTCTATCCATCTATCCATCTTCAACATCAATCTCAATCCTATCCCTAATATACTATATCGTATCATATCATATCATATCGTATCATATCATATCATATCGTATCATATCAAATCAAATCAAATCAAATCAAATCAAATCAAATCATAAGAACAACAACAACAACTTATTTATAAGTAGAGCTTATACTATACCATGAGTACACCACATATCCAATTCAATATACACCCCATATAATCCTCTTTATATAACTCTTCCAAATAAATCTCATTTATTCAATTACCCAATCTCTTAAATTCCCAAATTCCACTCACTACTCACCATTCACCACTTATCACCTACTCACTACTCACCGCTCAAACTACCCATACAATACCCCCTCTTCCCATATCCTTTCCTTTCCCCTCCCTCATCCCCTCACCTCTCCTCCTCTCTATCCCTCCCCCACTCTCCCCATAAAACCAAAACCAAAACCAAAACCACAACCACAACCACAACCAAACCAACCAATGCACCAGCCAAAGCCAAGAACCCGATAAAAATCAGATAACACAATACCCTCTAAACAACTTCTCCCGCAATACCCATCCCGCATACTCCTCTCCTTCCTCCTTCCTTCCCTTCCCTTCCCTTCCTCCCATTTCCTTCCTCCTTCCTCCCCTTCCCTTCCTCTCTTTCCTCCTCCACTACCACCATAACCCCACCCCTGTAACCGCTATACTAATTTAAAATACTCTACTCCATAATCCACCCCCAGATACTCAACTCATACTCCATCCCCAGACACTCCATCCCCAGACTATACTCATACTCCCACCCCCACTCATATCAATACATATCTACTCAAGTATCCAGAAAAGAAAAAAAGAAAAGAAAAGACTACTATACTAGTAACTTACTTAACTTATTTAAAATTAAAAGAACAAAAGAGAAAAAAGGATTAGATAGATAGATAGATACTCGAGTAGATATAATTCATATATATACAAAAAAAAGAAAAAAAGAAAAAAATAATTCAACTACTATAAATACGAGTATCTAGAGTAGAGTAGAGTAGAGTAGATAATAAAGGTATATAAAAAAATCAGAACTCTACTAGCACCTTGCTTGCATCTAAGTAAATAAGGTATTGAACAGAATAGAATATCACAAAATACAAACCACTATCACAAGCCATAACTCACAACTTATAGAAAATACACACTATACAAAAGAATACCTGAGTACAAAAAACGAATATATTCGCTCATAGCTCTCTCTCAGCTCCTAGCTATTCATCACGCTATACAACACCACGCTATACATCTAACTGCGTAATCCTCCATCCTCCATCCATCTCTATATGTATGCATGCAATACGACTTGGGTATCAGTTTGAAAAGTAAAAGAATGACTCCATCCAATATCAAATCATAACGAAAAAAAGAAAGACTCCCGGACCTTATCTTATGTCCAATGCCTCCCTCCATAACCCTTTATGTGCAAAAAAGCAAAAACGTATCATTCCTCCCATTTCCGTATCCATGCAGAAAGATGCTAAGCGATTGGTGCCCGTAATTTCGTATGCTCATTATCGTTATTTTCGTACTGATTTTGGAAGAATACTGCCTGTTCCTAATCCTATTCCGTTTCAGGAGAAGTGTTTTCGGAAGAAGCAACAACGTATTAAGGTATTAATGCCTCTGTATAATCAACATTAATTTTCATCCATACCCATGGGATGGTCAACCTCAACCTCTGCGTCACTGTGATGGGAAGGCGGGGCATGAATCACAAATTCCGTCTCATCATCCGATTCCGCCGCCATAGATGCATCATCGAATCCATCATCATCATCTTCATTTTCGCTTCCGGAGTTCATAACTTCATCTTCATCTTCCGAACCGGAATCCGACTCGGTCATGGCATCGCAGATAACGGAGTTCGCGGCGACCGGACGACCCGAGACTGAATCTGTGCGTGGTTGAATTGGAGAATATATGTCGTTCCTGAGGAACATGGCTGTGTTGGCTGCTTCCTGAGTATCCGTTGTATATCTTTCTGATAAAAAGTCCCAGTCTCTCTGATCCAAGACATGGTTTATCTGTCGACATTGTTCACGATCCGCAAGAGCATCTCCAAGATGCCAAATGGGTCCACCGTATCTCTCAATCCAGAATCTGCATTCGCGAATTGAAAGTACACGAAGATTTGGGCCCATTTTTCGAGAGATTCTCTCCGCAAGGTCTTTATTTTCACACTCAGATTCGGCTAGATGCTTCATACCCGATAAGTGATCTTGGACTATTGACCGGAGTCGAGGGCTAGATTTATCATGTGGATCGGGAAGGAGGCCATAATTCCATGGCAACAGAGGGTTCAGGACCAGAACTTTGATGTTGTGCCATGCACGATATGATTTGAAACCCACGTCAATGTTAGTAAGATCAAATCGATCAAGCCTAGCACGTCGAAGATCATCACCCCAATATCCTCCACCATCCACAGATAAAAAATCTGCAGGACGAGTCCATTCTTGTCCTCTAGGAACATTGCTATAATGATCGGCAGTATGCTCCGAGTCCAACCGAATCTCCTTGATGGTCATCCATGTCTTAAGCGCTTTATTCAATGGGTTCTCATATTTCAGGAGTCGGTTATCTTCAGCTGCATTAAGAAGTTGAAAGCTTTGAAGAGTGCGTTTGTGTGATTCGATAAAGGCTATCATGAATTTGCTCATGGTACGGGGGTGGTCGAAATCATGCCTTTCAGACTCAACCCACGGTAGATGAAGATGGGCTAGGCGAGGGAATAGGGGGTTTTCCGGAGAGGAATGTCCGAGAACGGAGGCAATCAAAGGTTCATCTAGAAAGTCAAAGTAGAATCTTGTCAAAGTATGTCGACACCTGCGGAATGATTGCTGGACAATCTTTGGAGGAGCAATCAAACTATAACACGAGATCAGTATATTTGATATCGCAAGCTGAGATATGGACTGACATGTGGGCATCATCTTCGAGAACCAGTTCACGCATAGAGGCGGGGAATCCATAATTTGTTTCTTGAGCAATGGGTGAAGAGTCATCGATCTCACTAGGTACAAGATTCTCCCAGAATCTTGCCAAGGTGTGCATTCCTTGATTGTCGAAAGATCGATTATCACGAGTCACAGCAATGTGGAGGACTTCAAGATTGCTCTCCCTGACTTCAGCACCTAGGGCTGCTGATTCCAAAGGTGATAGCAAACCAATTTCGAATGTTCGTAGTCTCGATAAACCTTGGAAGTCTAGAACCATACCTTCTACTAGCACTTGCTTCTCTTTATAGCTGAGCCGATTCAAGGTATATGCGGAATACTCCCTCTCCAGAAGAGCTTGGGAGTCAACTGTCGTCGTTCGCCATATCCTTAATTCTCGGAGAGATGGTGATGTGAGTATCAGAGACCAAGTTTTTCTATTAACCTCGCCATCGATTCGTAAGGTGTGGAGATTCTGCATCGTAGGGAATAATTCTCTGAAAACGCCCCGAATCCTTCCATCTTCTCTCGAACCTCCTTGAGGCAGATCTCGCGAGTCCACATCCCAAACAGTTCTGAGAGCAAAGTTTTTAATCATCGAAAGCCGCGAAACAATCGAAGGCACTCGTTGATCTCCGTGTCTTATTTTCTTCCATGTCGACTCTAAATCTGTGTTATTTGGTCTTTCATCATTTTCGTGGCGAAGAATTCGGAGTGGGTCTTGTCCATTTGAGGGGTAGTCTGGATCGTAGAATTGGGAGCTATTTATAGTGATGTTTGACCAAAGTATTCGTTCAGCAATATCATTGTATGCCCAGTCAACAAGAGCCCAATTCTTCAATGATTGTAAATCGTCGGCTTGAGATATGATGTTGTGGATGATTTCGGTAGGAAGATATGGAATCAATATCGGTTTCGCAGGTCGTGGAGTGACATGGTGAGCGATACCTGATATAATAATGTTAATGGATATCTTTCTTAAATTTATAACGGAATTGACGGAGTGCATACTTGGCCAGGGTATCATGTTGTTGCCCGTTAAGATGTTTTGATATTCATCATAAATGATAGAACCATCGGGCGGTAAGCAAGTAGTAGTGAGAGCCGCTGACTGCCAATTCCCATCTCTTTTACTTTTGGATAGTGTAATTGTCTGACAGGTAGATTTACCAGTAGTAGAAGAAGGCCGTTTCGATTTCTCCATGATCGTATGTTGTATATGTTGTATATGTGAAATCCTAATAAGATTGAAATTGAAAGATATCAAAAAATCTATGCAAAGAAGGCTTTTGTAGAAGTTAAATGGTGGAGGAGAGAGAGAGAGAGGAGGTGACGGGGATGAGATCAATCAACTGCGGTGGTGGCGCGAAAGCAGCGATGTTGTGTCTAGTACAAGTACTTGTGCATTCACCTTTATGCCATAGGATGTTTAGTGATAGCCGAGCCTGAAATGTCACCACTTTTTTTTGGGGGGGGGTGGGGGTGAGGCGAGGCGGGGGGTTTCAAGGGTTCAAGGTGCAAGGGTCTCTCTTATCCTTATGGGTAAGTATGAAGAAGTGAAGATGTACTATGTACCGATATGAAAAGTTACACTCATTTTTTTTGGAATGGGGGGGTTTTCTGTATAATACCGGTACATATTGCTCATATACATAGACCGTACTATCACGACGGGTATATCAGATGGACCTCTCACTCATTTGCCTTTGAATTAACTTAAAGTCTTAACCCTTATACCCTCCACAATGACATGAACTGTTGTACCGAGTGCTAAGTAGATAATATAAAGATCAACAGTTGGTAATTATACCTATTAGGTACCTAGGTAGGTAAACTAGTACAGGAACCAAAACCAAAAAAATAATAAATCGTTGTTTCCGACATCCCCCTTTTACTACGGATTGCTCAAACGTCTCAACCCCCTTCAAGATCTCACACATTTGCCCAATTCTCACTTTATCGACAATCATCTTATCGATTGGATATAAAGATCCCCGGATCCTGCTCGGTCAGGTATACTAAAGAGTGGATTCCCAAATGCCAGCGGCCGTCCACGACTCCACGTTAGACCTACCCTAGATAATAAAGTTTTTTTTAAAAGCACGCGTTCTTCCAATACTTTCATTTCTACGAGTATAGCCACAAAATGGCCTTGACGGTTGACCTTGTGTTCTATTCGAAGAAATTGGAGAGCGGGTGGAGGCAATCTCATGATAGGATGATATAATTGTTATGAATATGTTATTGATATCATGTCGAAAAGGATTCATTTCCCTCTCTATTTGATGTGGAGTCAAAGAGGATATAACATTCATTTACATCTAGACTTTATTTAATTTCAGCCATTTCACTCACATGCCTCTCTCTAACTGTACCTACTCGGTAAGGCTCCTTCAACCCAACTTCTCCCCCTTTAGTCCATCTACTGCCTCCCACATTTCATTTTTCACCCCTCCTACCCTACTATTCAGATACAAACTTTCCACTAAGAAAGCTATCGAAAGAATACACGGCGAAAGGCCTTCGCCACATACTTCATTCAGCTCAGAGGCTTATTCACGGCCTTGATTTAGGTCTTCAGGATCAAATATCATAGGATACCTACCCACCTTTAGGCTATCCTCGTCTCAATGAGTACCTACTTAAGAGTCACGAAATCAATCAATAAAGATAATCGTGCTAATATTTCAAAGAACGCTTCTAAATCCTTCAGCACAGTACCCCCCTTTCCCCCCGGCGATGAGATGTAAATTAAATCAGTTAGTTGCGCCTCACAAATACATACTCGAGTAGATCTTGGATGTCTCGCTCTTATCGTGGATAAGGTGTACAAGATCGTGATGATCGGGTACAAATGATATCATGCTTAGATTTTTGGTTAACCACGTTATGAGACGATCTTAGATTATGGATCAAGAACCTTAATAAGAGTACCTAGGTGAAAAGTCCAAGTATGCTTCTGTACTCAGTGCTTAAAAGATGGCATTATTCGTCAGCCTTGTTACAGTTAAACTTAGTCATAGCCTTGAATTAGGAACGCTGGACCCACCCGAATCATCCAACCAATGGTAGTTCTGCTAGTGTTTCAGATATTCCCGTTTTCGAACCCCCCCCCTCAATCATCTTTGACAATCCCAATTCGGTCACGGAGATAATGTAAATTTAAAATATGATTGGTGGGTGGGGGTACTGAAATATTTGTCGCCCATTGCTTATCGATTATTCAGCTGCTCAAACATGCCTACATTTAAGGGACCGGAGTACAAACCAAGAAGACTCATGAACATAAACATGAAATAATTGGGACAGCTGAAAGGAAAAAGAGGGAAAAGAGGAAAAAGAGGAAAAGAAGAGATGATGATTATGTTTTCTATCCGAATTCCAATTCCAATCTCAATCATAACATAGGTAAGCATTTATTCAATGTTAGCAACTATATCTAAACATCTAAAAATAATACATTCATTCCCATTATTCTCCATCATTCCCCATTATTTCAATAATACCAAGCATCCTCCCTCATATGACGTATCGGTTATATATTTCGCATATGCGATTTTCTAATTTAAACCCGGGTTTTCATTCTATGGCAGACATAACTAGGTAGTATAAGCACCAGAACTTGGTTCTTGGCTCACCTGGGCAAAAGATCGAGAACGGCAGTAGTCCGTCCTTCTATTAACAGGATTTTACTACTCGAGTAGAAATATTTCACCTCCAGTTCTTTTGTTTACAAAAAATAAATAAAGCAAAAATGCAGTCACGGCGACAATTGGTGAATGAAGATTCGAACATCTTAACAACAACAACGGGAACAGAATTGCCAACAATATCGGCACCCGGAAGCAGAAGAGGAAGTCTTGGTCCATCTACCACCACACGTACATCGGCAACTTCCCTCGCACAACAAAATACACTGAATAATCAGTCACCGAGTGAAAGTCGACAATCACAACGACCTCCACCAGCGATATGGCGACCAAGTATTCGAATTAGACGATTGTCATCATCAGGCAATCTCCCTGGTGGAACTCCTCAGATCAATCAACCTTATGATAATACATCTTGGAGAGATTGGGAGATTAATAATAATTCAACTCCACACTTTGACAACCATCCCCCTTCCGCCGATGTTACCATTGATACATCAAACAGACGTCGAAGTAGTTCTGAACCACAACGCCCAGCATGGTTGAATTCTCAAGCAGCTACGACTGCCGGCCCACCGCGAGTGAGGGAAGGATCATATATCCCGGGTACCATTGAAGAAGCATGTGTCACAAAACAAGAAGGTCCAACTTTCGCCCAAATTCATCCAGGTGGAAACAACATGGCCAATGAGGTCCCAATTCCTCTACAGCGTTCTCACACACAGAGTGAAGCAATACCGAATGTTCAGGGCGAATACGACACTGATCTTGTTGATTTCCTCGATCTCGTTGGTTTGCATCCCTCAAACTTATATCAATGAATATCTCTGACCATTTCTCAGATCCCGAAATTTCTACCTTGACGAGTCTTACGAATATACAGAACTCCTTATTCATTCCTTCACTTGGAAACCTATTTAATCGTAATCCAACATATAATCTTACTCGAAATGATCTTGCCCGTCGTCCAACAAATGATCTTTCGCGTCGCCCAACAAATTTGACGGAGATACCGATAGCAGAAGATCCTGAGCCACAAGGTGAATCAAAACAAACCTTCCCTCGCCCGGAAAGACCTCGACCTCGACCTCAACGTCAAGATACTGGAGCTTTCACTCTCACCGAATCCATATCGCATCCAGATGAAGAGGTTCCGCATTATGCAATAGTCCCTGAAGGCATTAATTTGGAGGGATGGTCACCTGCGGACAAAGAAGAACTTAATGATCATGTACGACATTTGTTACATTCCAGGAGAGAAGGGTTCAAGCGGAATATGAAGGGATTTGGTCAATATGTTAGAAAACGTTAGTTTCTCCATCTCCCAATAATCTACGGTATACAATTGACTAACATTTACAGCTCTTGGATTCTTCGTTACCCTATATGCAGTCCTCATTACTTTATTTGGATTAGCATGGGTTCTTTTTTTGATCGGTTGGGTTAACGTTGGAAGTAAACGTCTCTACGTGATCAACATTATTGATAATGTCCTTGTTGCACTCTTCGCCATTATGGGTGATGGACTTGCTCCATTTCGGGTCATCGACACTTACCACATGATATTTATAGCTCATTATCACCATCTAACGTGGCGACTCCGCAAAGAAAACGCCCTACCAAAATTAGAAGATCATAACGATTTACCGGCCATATTACCCGAAGATATTGAGGATCAAATCGTCGAAGATGAAGTATCAGTCCTCAACCCAGCTCAACAAAAGAAGCTTCAACATCATCAAAAGAAATTTAACCGATCTCACACATTTTATAAACCTCACGAAACCACCACACATCACGCATTCCCTCTTCGATTACTCGTTGCCATCGTTGTTCTTCTAGATTGTCATTCCCTTCTTCAAATAGCTCTGGGTACATGTACCTGGGCAATCAGTTATAAGACTCGCCCATTTGCGTTGACGACGGTTATTCTATGCTGTAGTATTACAGTAAATATTACAGCCGGTGTACTGATCAGTGTTGGAGATCATAGAACTCGAAAGAAGGACGTGCTGGAGAAGATGTTCAAGCAGGATTTGACAAAGGAGGCTATACATAAGATGGAAAAGATGAGAGAAAAGGAAAAGGAAAGAAATGGCGAGCAAGAGGCAGAAAATCAAGCGGAGGTCGATATTATAAGTGAGGGTAGGGAAACTACAGAGAAGGAAAGGAAGAGGGAAGACTTTGAGATTGAGGATGGAAATGGAAATGGGCAGAGTGAAACTACTACGACGACTGAAGCTAGTAGTTCGAAAGAGCTATAGAGTATGAGATGGGAAAGATATGAGGGGATGTGTATGATGAATTCTGAATTCTTGTGGGATATTTGTGTGTTGGATTGGAGAATTGCATGGCGGGATTAGATGGGATGATTATACCAACGGCTTCTATATAGCTTTCTTGAACAACTATTTATTCTCTTAATTACTTCTACTCGAGTAAGACATATAACATTGTTGGAAAGTCATATATCTACTAGTACAGTGATTGTACAGATACACAAACTTTTGGTTCTAACAAACATAATCATATCTGAAGTTTTTTTTCTATATATAATGTTCTTCTCATCTGATATTTCTCTACTCGAGTAAGTAAGTACTTAGTATATCTCGAGCAATTCGAGCAATTCTTTTGAGTCATGGTATTGTATTGTATTGTATTGTATTGTATTGTATTGTGTTATATTGATATACTCGAGTATTACGAGTATAAGATTTATAATCGTACTAGTATCCAAATGGATAATGAACAATGGATAAGGGAGGGGGGGGGGGTATGATAAATAGATAGGTAAAGGTAAAGGAAGGTAAAGGTAAGGAAGGTCCTCTACTGAGTATATAAGTTTTTTGTTTTATTTTATTTTATTTTGGCTTTGGCTTTGGCTTTGGCTTTGGCTTTTGGGATTAGATTTAGAGAGGGATTTAGAGAGGGATAGGGAGAGGGATCAATCTCTGGGGGGTAGATCTGGAAATAATAGAGCGGTATAAGTTATAGCAAAACTACTATAGTAGTCCGTCTATACGAGTACTGTAATAGGCTATGTTATATTTATATTTAGATTTATATTGGATGTGAATGTGGATATGAATGTTAAATCTCCAGATAGGTACTGTATATAGTCTTTTCCAAACCGAATTTGATGGCTATGTACTTACTCGAGTAGTAAGGTTATATATAAAATTCATTATTGAGTAGATTAGATTAGATTAGATGAGATCAGATTGGAAATCTTTATAATTATTAAGTATGATATGGTGTTTGATATGGTATTTGATATGTATTTGAGATATATGTAAGATAAGAGTAATTTAATGTTTGTTTTTTTATTGCTTTTGCTTTTTGTTGCTTTTGTGTAGGTATAGTTGTAGATTACAGATTACAGATTATAATACTGAGTAGTAGTTTGCTATACTGTACTTGAGTAAGTGTTTACTTGGTTTGTGATTGTGAAAAGCTATTGTGCGAGCAATGACATTAGATTAGATTAGATTAGATTAATAATGCGTTTAAATTTTATCCTTTATCATGATCCCTCTTTTCCCTCTTTTTTTTCTCCTATAACGTTAAGGTTAATGAAAGGTCAACCAACTTTTGGGATGTTCTGGAGCTGGAGCTGGAGCTGGAGGGGTTTCGATTAGGTAGGTAGGTAGGTAGGTAGTGCTTAGGGCACGGAGATTCTGTATGTGAAGTATACACTATTCTTGTTCAGCTGTTCTTGTTTAGGCCTCAAGTTAATACTCGTAGTTGCTTTTACTCTTTTATTCTTTTTCATTATTGTATCACGATATTAGATGACCAAGATGACGAATCGAATCTTTCACTTCCCCCTCCTCTTATCTTCTCTCTCGTAGATGGATTGGACTTTCTTTCCTATATTTCACCACCATGATCATGATCATCAGCTCAAGCCTTTGAAGAAGAATAAGAAGAAGAAGAAGAAGAAGAAGAAGAAATTCGCTGGGATTCTTCTTCTACCAGGAAATGCCATCCAGTCATCAGGCGAGTGTGGTGAGTATCTTCAGATATGAAATTTTTTTCGATCAATATGATATGATTCGTATCAGAAGTTGATAGAGAGCGATGTGAGAAGATGCAGGTTCTGGTGGGGGAAGTTGATGCTGATTTTACGCCGGCGTTTGTAGAGAGGGAGTTGAGGGTTTTGGAGTGGGAAGGGGGGGGTTAGGCAGGTGGATTGGATGACGCGAGGCATGGCTTGGTTAGGTTGTATCCTGGGGTGGTGGCGGGTTTGGTGGAGGGGTTTTGGGGTGAGGTGAATTAGTAATGAGTAATGGGGAACTGGGAATTGGGAAATGAGGGGTGTGGGAAGAGAGTTTAATGCTGGGTACAGTACAGTGGTAGATACTGGTCATGGTAGTGGAGAAGAAAATCGAGATTTGAAAGTTAACAAATGGATATAATCACTACGATATTACCAATCCACATAACCAAGAAGTCTTGTGTATCCTCGTTGAACCACACGTTCTTCCTATGGAAGGTGAATGTAGATGTGGCGTTGTTTTCGACTGAAGATAGATGGTGTTATTCTTGGACTGAAGAATGGATCGGAGGGGAAGGACTGCGAGAGTGTTGGTTGAAGAATATTGATGTTGATGTTGATGAAAGGAGATGTGAGAGGAAAGTTATCTTATGAGAGACTTGATTAGTGTCACTTTAGCGTCATGTTTTTGTTTGAAATCAAGATGATTTTTGTGGAATTCTTTTTGATACTATATCATTATTCGTTTCATCTAATATTAACAAGAGACTTGATTAGTATCATTTAGTATTATGTTTCTGCAATCGGGATGATTCTTCAAGGAATTTCTTTTGTTACTATATCATTATTCGTTTAATCTAATACTATATAAATCCCACCCGGTAATTTTCATTCTCTATGGATCCCATGCTAGAACGCCTTGCTGCAGAAATGGTTCACAACCTAAAAATAAAACCTCCTTTTCAACCTTGGTTATTGGAAGGCACCACACATAGAAATCCTATTAGTGGCAGAAATCATCCCGCATAAAATCTCGCTCATCATCCCTTCCCTCCTATCTCCCTTTCCTAGACGGATTCTCGAGAATATTGTTGACTTCTGTGTTTCTTTGAAGGAATTCTATCATGTAGAGTAACTCCATCTCTGCTTCCTGTGGAAGTGGGGGTCTCATATTTATGACTCTTTCCTTGAATGATAGCACTTGGATGACGAAGATTGAAGATGACCACAACCAAGAACATCAGAGTAGCATCAAATATATAGATGAATACCTCAGTCGACAACAGATATCCATCATTTCCCTGAGCATACTCCACGATACGGAAGATCGATCGAATCATGATGAAAGTACTGGCGACATAAAGAATCATCAAGTATTGTTGCCAAGGTATCCCCGAAGCAGAAGCTCCACCTTGTCTTCGAGTAATGCGATAATGGAAAATACCCGCCGTGACGATGAAGAAGGCGAAGAAAAGGACTTGGACAACAAGACCACCCGTGATGATATTCTCACCGGTCTGGACACCAGAAGCCGTCTTGGTACTGGCGAGCATACCACCACCAGCGGATTGCATGAGGAAGGAAATGACATCCCCGGCAACGAAGAGCTTGGTCAACCAACGAGCTCGGATGATGGAATATTGCTCGCCGTCGGTGAGCACGATGATCCGTCCAAGTACCATGTAGATGGATGCGGCGAAGAAGGCCGGTGCGAGGAGGATGAGAAGCGATTGCATGACGTATGGTCCGATGGTCCAGTCGCCATAGTGTTGTTGAGACGCGAGAAGACGCCCAATGTAGCCTATGGTTTCAACTGTGAAGATTGGGTTAGTATGTTGAGGTGGAGGTGGAATGATCTTGGGATGGTAAACTTACATATACATCCGATGACAAAGGGAACGAAGTACCATGTTCGCTTGGCGATTAGTTGGTAGGTGTGGAGGATGGTGGAAATGCCGAATAGAACTACGAAGACGACGGCGGCGGCTGTCGAGGGATTGTATTGAAAGAACATGTATTTTTCTCCAGGGACCGACATGATGATGGGTGATGTGATGTGATGAGTGTACTGCGTTTGCCTGGTGTTTGGATGTGAAGCTTGAGATGATTGGAGGATGGATATGAAAATCGAGATTTGAGACTTCGACTTGATTAAGCTTCTCAAGGAAAGAGGAAGAGAGAGATGATTGTAGAAGTAATGAAGTAGAGAAAGCCATTTTATTTATGAAGGAAGAGAGCTCTGTAATATGTGATTATTGGGAAAATGTATACTGATTGTTTATTATCACAAACGGGCAGCATTCGTACTGGGCAGCTCTTGATTGGATCAACGCATTCTTCGCATATCGGATTCGGATAGGTCGTATTCGGTGCGAGGGAGGCGGAGCTTTAGTGGTTTGAGGTGGATATTGGCAGGCACTTTGTTTTCTTGCCAAGATTAATATAGATTAATCATTTTGTTGGAATGAAATTTGTACTCGAGTATTGAAAGGTATATAGAGGTCTACTGTACTGGTTTTGTTAGTGATACTGTACTCAGTACTGTACTATTTGATATTGCTAATCAACTTGTTGATTTACAAGATCAAAAATGTTGTAAATGTTATAATTTCGTGAAGCAGATATAGATTTTCTGTTCTGTTTTGTTATATCGAAATCTAGAATGAACAAGCGATGGGAACCCCCGCTGTCAACGAGATTTGATTGGCAATGATTATTTCTAAAGGGGCAGGGGGAAAGGTCCATAAATTCAGTCTAATTGGCTCGTTTAATGATAGCCCTCGCTAGTCCATGTAAGCTCGCATTCTCGCATTATCGTATTTACGTATTTACGTACTCACGTATTCTCGCTTTCTCGCTTTCGTATTTATTTATTTATTTATTTACAACTGCAACTGCAACTACAGTACAGTACACGCAAACAACCCTTTCCTGCCACTCTAATATTAAGCCACGCACCGCGTTTATTCCTAACCTTTTAATTGCCAATCACTTGGGATTCTAGCTAGAAATTAATGACGGATAGGCTGATACGCTCTTCTTCTATTTTTTATTCGTTCTCGGATCTCGCACCGCCTTGTCCCTTGTACTCGACCGGGCCTCCAACCAGAACCAACGAGACTAAGATAAGGCTCACAGCTACTACTCGGCACCATACGATCATGCAAGGGGCATCGCGTAAGCTACATCGAAAAGTTCGAACTGGATGTCGCGTTTGCAAAACTAGGAAAATTAAGGTATTTTTAGATTGTTAGATTTTTGGGTTTTGGTGTATTTGATGATTGTTTTTGCATATATGTGGCTGATGATATATTTACTTTAGTGTGATGAAAACAGGCCATCATGTAAGGCACCTGGGATATTGTCCCTTGAAGGTTAGCCTAACAATGATATAGGTAATAATTGCATCAGACATTCAGTACCATGCGATATCATGACGTCCAGTAATGCAGCCACACCTACTGCGTCAGCCCCCTCTCCTAGTCCTAGCTTTAACGGTACTCCAACGAGCACATTCAGCCCTATGAGTGTTACCGGACCATCACCTTCTCCTCACCAAAAATCGTTACCTTCAATTTCCATGCTCGATGGTCATACGCAGAGCTTTACACTCTTTGACATGGAACTACTTCATCATTACACAACATCCACATGCATGACTTTATCCCAGAGCCATAGTATTGGAACTTTATGGCGAATCAATGTTCCACAGCTTGCTTATTCCCATGAATTTCTGATGCGGGGTCTGATGGCAATTGCGGCTCTTCATATTGCTTATTATAAGCCTGAAAGAAGAGATTTTTATATCGAAAAAGCTGTAATTCATCATCAACAAGCTTTATCCACTGCGACTGCCATGCTTCCTAATGTCAACGATGAGAATTGTACTGCTCTTTACCTGTTTACCTCCCTTACATTATTATACTCGATAGGAGGTCCTCGACGACCTCTGAATTTCCTAATTGTTGGAGAAAACGATGTTTCGGATTGGGTATTCCTTTTGAGGGGAGTCAGGGTCATATCAGACCATGCTCATGATATCATTTTCAAAGGGATTCTGGGTCCGATGATAAGTGCTGGAGCAAGACGTGATCAATTGAGAAAAGATCAGGACAACAATCCTCCAAACCAAGATCTCATAAATTTGACCAACTTTCTCTCAATATCTACTTCTGATCCACAGGATTTGGCGGCATACATTTCCAGCATAAATGAGCTTCAGAAATCCTTCAACGTTCTCAAAAATAGGAACCGTGATGACTTCGAGCCAACGGATATGTTTATTTGGCCGTATCGAGTACCTGACCATTATTTGTCGCTTCTTCGGCAACGAACTCCCGGGGCTCTTGTTATATATGCATATTTTGCCACGCTGTTGAAATATCTGGATTCACATTGGTGGATGAAAGGTTGGGCTGAATATCTCATTGCTCAGATTTATGGTTTGTTGGATGAGGAACATCGATTATGGATCAGAGGACCTATTGAAGAAATCGGATGGGTTCCTTGATTATTATAGGTGGCTGACACGCAATTATCTTGGTTGGCGGTGATTTCGGGCTTCTTTGAAAGCTCCGGATCAAGTACTTGGTCCTGCACGAAGGGGTCGGGAAGTAAACTCCTTTCTCTACCAGGATGCACTAAAAGTATCCCAGAGATTACGATAGATGCCGTGCTTTTCAACGGCTACTGGGAACCAATGGAGAGATCGTTGCTATAAACTTCTACTACCCGCGCTGCTCTCATGACGTTTGCGCCTTATTTCGGTGTTTATCAAGAGTTCATGAGACCGCGACATTGGAGTTACAGTTCTTAATACAAGTATTTTAAAGGTCCTCTCTCTACCACGACCACGCAAGTCAGGGATGGATTGAAGTCCATTATGCGTTTTTGGAGGAAAGCTGATCGGTTGCCAGAGTGAGAATCCAAATAGGCGCTAAATATATTTCTTGGGGAAAACTCTATTCGTCACCCATTGACTTCGAAAGTACATTCTTTTTTTTAGGTGTTCTCCACTCTTGACTCTGCGAAGAACTGGACAACTATCCACAATTCACAGATTAAAACCTCAAACCTATGAACACTATCAATTACATCGGCATCTAATCCAGAAGATCCCATCTCTGCTAGATACCGAGTATACTTTGCCTGTGTGAAAAGCAAACAGCTATATCCAATACTTAAGCCCGAACTCAGAGTGTACAATACTTATGTTCTAATCCTACCACTCGCCAATTCATTACAAACCGTGTCTCCTAGATCTTCTTGTACCCCCTTCTCAACCCTCCCGACCATTGATGATTTTGTCTGCACGTTTGTTCATATATGTCGGGTGATAAGGTTCAGTAAGTAACTAATTCATTTTCTGCTTTCCATTTACTTCCTAAATCATACTGAGTCAAATTGAAATCTTTGCTTTTTCTGCTCCAACCAAATAGAGCCTCCGCCACATTCACCATTGACCCTAATTAACCTTTTCCTTCTCAAAGCTTCAAATCCTCATGGTCGGCGGCCATGCACTGTCCAGAGTGACACATTAATCCATGGCAGCATTTGTTATGATGCATCATGCATGCCTCTAGAATCAAATCAGTACTACAATACTACACACATCGAGATATAGAAATCACTTACCTCCTTGTGGTAGACAATATTTCCCCTCGATCTTCTCAACCAACCCTTGGAACATCTCTTTCAATGTGTGTATGGGAGAATGTTTCTCCTCATGATCGTCGGGTGCCATATAGTACGAAACACCAGTTTCCGACATACCTATGCAGCGTTGACCCGCGCAACAGCTGTCATGGTGGACACTCTTGGTACACATACCTTTTCATTGTCAGTTATACATCAGCACGCAAGAAGAGATGGGGGTTCATACATCCATGTGGTGAGCAACCCATGGGGTCTTGCGGGGAGCAATTCTCGGTCATCAATCCATTCTTTGTCTTCGACATACCGTGTTTCTGCGAGGAGGAGGAAGGGGTTTGGACTTTCTCGTGTGGGTTGGTCATGGAGACACAGAAGGACTCTTGGTGCGCATCTACGTATGCGCATTCATAATCAGGGCAACATGGAGCGGGTGGACATTTGGAGTTTTGTCTGTGGCGATGGCACATCTCTGTACCTTTCCGTTAGCTGCTTTCCAAGAATCATCTTTGAAGTGGGGATAGGAAGAACGGAACGTACGGCCTCCTTCGACGCACATATTCCTATCACAATCCTCTTCCAGAACATCCTTTTATTTCAACGAGAAAAGTGGCTTTTGTTTCTTGGAGTGTGTGGTTGAAGCGTCGTCATTGTCATTAGACTTCTTTAATCCACACATGAAGCCTTCACCGTTCACATTCATGCAACTGAATCCGCGGCAGCAATCCAGGCCCTTAATCTCGCAGTGGCGTGCTGGCGAGATGTTAGTAGAGGTTTGAAGGTCAGGGTAGTGTGTGAAGAAGAGATGACATACAGCCAGGCATTAAACATTGTTCTGCATCAACATCATCGGATTCTCTTTGGCACATGAAGGCTTTGCTGTCGGACCGCCCAACTTTGTTGCATTTGGATCCGGAACAACATTTCTTGGCGCCTAAATAATCGCAATGTAATGCTGGAGGTGTGGTGTTAGTTTTGATAGATGTGCGGTGTGTGGGATATCTTACAACCAGGTTTCATACACTGGGTTTCCGCATCGTCATCATCGTCGTCGTCGTCGTCGTCGTCGTCGTCATTGGAGGACTTCTTCTCGCACATGAAGGTGTTATGGTCGGTCTTGTTGCATTTGGAGCCGGAACAACATGGTGGCGCACCAAGTAAATTGCAATGCATTGCTAGCAAGTTTGCGAGTAATGTGCTAGAATCAAGGTGGATCATAGAGAAGATTGCATACCACCAGGTTCCATACAGTTTTCCGCATCATCTTTCATTTTCTGGAGTGGATTTTGCAATTCTTTCGAGGGTCGACATTTTCCATGATCGCTATGGGAGCTATTGGCCATATAGCAGGAGAGACCGAAGCAGCAGTTCATATCGGATTGTGGATTGCACATCCCTGGATCGTTTGGTCAGCTACCGCTGTGAAGTGAAGATGTAGAATTGAACTTCTCACCTCCAGACATGGAACACATGCACTCTTCCTCCCTATCACGATCACTATCTGAAGCACGACAGATACCATAATCTCCATTGGGATTATCCGTCATTTCGCAGGCAAGGCCATTGCAACAATTGATGTGGGATCCCTTGTGGCAGACAGCTTGACCGCGTTAGCTTTGCTTGGTTTGGGAATATCTAGATTGGATTTCGTACCTCCCGTAGAAGAACATTGGCAATCCTTCTCAAACACCTTCAAGCCCACATCAAGAGATGAGGATCTCGGAGCCGCCAGAGCAGAGATGGAAGGGGACATGGAAAGGATGGCGAGGATGATGTTGATCAATCGCATTTTCATAAGCTCGCAATGGATGATGTGATGGGATGGTGAAATGGTACAATCACTCGGTATTGTTGGGGGAGAACAGTACCAAGGGAATCTGGAAGAATTCATGTTGATATACGTTTGGTGGTAGGTAAAAATGTGGAGACGGGGTTGTGAAGTTACATTCCTGGGTGATATTTTTTTTCGTTCTGAAATGTTGTAAGAATGTGGTGCGTTACCGATGCGATGGGTATGAGGTCGATGTTGTCTCAATGTATTTGACTTTTACTGTATCCCTTTCTCCAAAGATGCTAAATGCATGCATTTGCATAAGCGAGACGCCACTTATTCTACCCCTTTATTGATGATCTCAGAGTCAAAACGGGTTTGAGTATTTTATTTTTCACAATTGAACGAGCTTTCAGGGGACTACATACAAGACTATACCATACACGACCAGCCCTGCTAATTTCTCGCTGCCTCAATCAGTATTTGTCCCAATGCCCTCATTCTTTCTCGGTGTTCCGGAGTTGCAGATTCGATGTGTCCAACAGCATTACCAACATGAAAATGTAAAGTCATCAACGCTCCATCCATACCAGATATTGCAGGGAGGATGTCAGATAAAGCTTGAAGGTTTCCTGATGTACCCGACTCCGCAGCTGCATACACCATCTTCTTTGCATCTGCCAGCAAACTCTGCCCATCCTCCAAAAGTTTCGCAGTGGTGGGAGCTTGGCGCATAGGTGCGTTAATCAAGTTCATGACCTCTGCAGCCATAGCTTCCTTCACATACATCAAGTAGTAGCCACAGTATTCGCCCTCGAACACGCTTCCAAGTGCTTTTAGAGTACATTTCCACCCTTTTTGGCATCCCGTATTCATCTATCCAGGCCACGAAATTATATTTAGGTGTCCGGTATCCATTCGCCCAGGCTTCGACGTTCAAACAGTGGATCGATGTTTCGTGACGCAGCTTTTGAAATTTGGTCCGGCTGGAAACCTTAAAGTTCTGTTAGCGTTCTGCAACCTCTATCACACAGTTTGCAGGACTACATACTATAGCGCCTACCATAGCAATATTAAAGATGGCTTCTGAAGGATTCCAACGGGCGGTATTGGGATTGAATTGTTATCGCGATATTTCAGAACGATTTGGTAGAGTTTGCTGAGTTTGAAAGGTTGAGAAGCTGGAGAAATTGATGAAATCAGAAAAGATTCTTCAAGGTGAGCGAATTCTTCATCTGAGCTATGAGAACATTTTTAAAATTAGTTGGAAGTGAATATTTTGGTACATAGGACTATGACCCTTGGACCTTGACCCTTGGGCCTTGGAGGAGTAGGAAAGGTTGTAGGAAAGGTATCAGTCTTAAATATTGAACCCAGGGCAGGCTGAATCAACGAAACTTAAAGTAAATGCCATTTCCGTCGTTTTGTAAGTGAATGACCATTTACAATCTGGCTGAGCACATCATGAGCAATTTGTAAAAGGATTTATTGGTGAAAAGATCGAGTGGATAACCTTGACGACCACGATGGCGCGATCTCATTGGCGCGGTCTACTTTGCTTCTTGTGTGGAAGTATTTACTTTTAGAGAGAGAGAGAGTAAATGCCCGTTTCATGAGCAGTATATAAACGGATTCACCAATGACAAGGATGGGTAAGATAGTTTTGATGCCCTCGACGACGCGATTATATTGAAGCTATCTATCTCGATCTGTATATAAATGAGTCCATATTGGAAATTCGTTGAGAGGATGGCGGAAATACTTCTCAACAACTGTACCAATCGAACGACAATGTGTTGAGTGTGCAGACTGAGTGTTAGACCCTTGAGTCTTCTATGTAGTGCGGAGTTTCGATGATAGATAGACTTTTGTTTCTTTATATTTCTGAGGAGAATTTAACTTCTTCCTAATGTATATAACTAACTAGGAGTCTACCTACCCAGTAGTATACACTATTTTAGTTGCAAATTGCTCGCAAGGAGATATTCGAAAGCTTTTACTAAACATTACACACCACATGCGACCGATGTCGTCCTTGTAGTCGCGTCTATGCGTCTCCATTTGTATTACTGAAACCTCGCTAACGCGCGCAAAAGGAATGATCACCACCACAAAATGAGAAATCCATAAGATTAAGCAAAACTCAAGGACTCAAAAATATGCCTAAAAAGAAATGCCAAAAAAATACCAAAAAAATACCAACAAGTTGGCATCGCCAATACTCGTACGCCAGACAGTGAACAATCTCTGTTTGGAGGACTATAAACTGGAACAAGGACAGTGAGCGATCTCTGTTCGGAGGACTTTAAACAAGGAGCGTAAGAAACCACTACGCCATACAAGCATTTTTGATGGAGGAGTGGTATGTATTGAAGTATATAACCGGCAGCGGATTTATTTCGGTAGAAGGTTAGGATGGGATGGGATGAGAGCTGGGATGAGAGCTGGTGTGATGTACTCGAGTATTGATTGACATATATGGTTTGCAAGTGCGATAGTATAGTGTTTGTATGTAGGTATTTACTACTGCATTTCATTACGTTACTTGGAACACACGGTACGACTGAGATAGATGACGAGTAAGCAGCAGATATCATTACGTTGAACTTTATCTATTCATCTATTTCAAACTCTACCTTCCCAGATACGCCCGGTCTTTGGCATTCACCATCTGCTTCTACTCTATCCATTTTCCATAATAATAGCAAGTGTACTACAACCCTCCCCTCTACCTCATCTTTCACAAATAATTCTATCATATCCGTCCATCCCATCCAATTTCACCTATAACCGCCAACATTTTCTCATACTGTCTATCTCCTCGGTCACGAATCTACTTCCACTCCTTGTTAGTAATCTGTTCTAATGCAGTAGTAGCGAAACCAATTTCTGTATCGATATCGACTAAAATACTCGAGGGCAAATGCAGCATCTCTCAAATCCTTCCTTTCCTTGCTAACCCAGATATTTCAAGTACAGTTAGTGCTGCGCCTAATCTCGGCAGAGTAGTCAAGAAGGATATGAGTATATGGTATGTGCCGTGACTTTATTATGAGGACCTTAGGAAATAAAGTCCTTCTCAAGGCTGAATGAATCTCAGTATTCACATTGCCATATAAATAGCACTGATGCCAAAAAGTCCGCTCCGTCCCTATGAAAATAGAAGAGAAATTCTCCACCACCTTGCGCGAAAAGAAGTTAGCAAATTACCACAGGAAAGCAATCGACTTGAACTTATCCTTCTTCGCCAAGCATCGCATAGCTGAGCCCGGTGAGCCTCTGGGTCTCTAAGCCTCTTGGAATATACAAACCTCAAGCCCGCAAACGGGTCCGATCGTTCATATAAAGAGGTAGAATCTTCACAAACAATTTGAAGCTCCGAGCTATCAAACTGCACACCCAGAAGCCGGAACAATCCCTCGAGTTATCTCGCCATAACCAGTTTTTCTACTGCCACGATGCGGAGTCCCGAGGAAAAACTGCGTTTGTGGAAAGATATATGTTAAGTATGGGTGGTATGGGTTTGTGCTTGTTGATAGCCGCGTGTCGCCGAACCTGCCAATGTATTCAGTGATCGGATTTCGAAAGTAGGAGGCTCGCGCGCCCAATAGATATTCTCTACTTACTCGAGTACATCTTCTGAGATGATTCCTATAGATCGGTTGCAAGCATAATTTTTGAGTGAAATATAGGAGTAACTTACTACCCAGAGAATGTGCAATAAAAACTAGGACTTTTACGGCCTTGGTGAATCGACCGTTTCATGAATGTGATGATTTAGGGGACTCGGACGGAAGACGACTTTCCTCTAAACGTAAAGAAGACCTTTCGTGTGCGAATACATTATTCTGTGTCGCCGCGCCCATGAAGAATTTGGACTGGTTGGTATCCACCCCAAGTAAACAACCGCGTATCAAGTTGGCTGCAACCATTTGGCAACAGACCCAGAGGCCAGTCAATATATCTCCGCTCCTGTCACCTCAACTGTGAGAATTTGGTTCTGCTCCTAACTCTTGAGTGTTTTCTTAGGCTCCGATGCGCTTCTACTTAGCTGTTATCGATTGTAGTGAAGAGGTAATATTTGTGGTGTCTGTCTGTAGATCCTTGAGAGTCTCGAACTGGCATTTTGCATCTGAAAAGCCTAGTCCCTTCAGGGGTGGCCTTGCAGACCATGGGCAAACATAATACTAGTTATTGTCAGTGAGTTGCTTATTTGATCTTTGGATCTCCTAGTTATTTTGCCATGGGATTAGCAGGCTCGTGAAGGAAGCACGAATAAGACCAAACCGATGTATTTTGTGTACCTTTTTCGACATATTCTGAGATTCTCTTAGTTTCTGCCAGAGATTTGAAGGATGGAGGTTCTTCGACGACCCGTTGCTTGGAGTTCTCGTATATCATTGTCAATATTGGGCTCGAGTATGTTCCCCAGGAAAGGACCCATGGAGAGCAATAATATAATGCATGTTCGTTGGTTCTGCCGACTGCTGCGAGGGTGATTTGTCAGCTAGATAAAGAGAATAATATGCTGCGATTTATGATGGTTGATGGTGATACCTGAATGTGTTATATGGACTGCGCTATAGATATAGATAACTCAAGAAAGGAAGACTATGAATGAACTGAAATTGTTCTGTTAATGCACTAGATTACTTTCAAGATTAAGCAAAGAGAAAAACTGATTCTGGATATTTCTAGGACCCGTGTGAAGTGGACCGAGTTGTTACCTTTGAGTCTTGACATGGCTTGGAGGTTAAGGTAGATTTAGGCCTCATGTTTCCATCAACTCACTCAAGAAGGGTTCTTCTCTAAGAAATCAATGACTTCCTTCCACTTCCTGCGATATACGATGGAGTTCCTAACCCGAATAATGATGCTCCCCTGGACCATTGATAAACGCAATCGCTTTATTACCACCCGTTCAATGCACCATTTCAACTTATTCGTAGAGCACGGCTGCGCTAGTCTCCTCTTCCATGTATACGTTCGCGAGAGAGTCAGGCGTATCCTAAGGTTGAAAAGAGGAAGTGCGATGGGCCAAGAAGTATGGTTATTGCCTTGATGCAGTGGACCTGCTTTAATATTGTGGTCTCTTAGAATGTTGAGATGATGAGGCAACATGTTCTTCGCTAGCCGTTTCCATGATGTGTCCCCAATTGCATGATCGTCTCTTCCACTTGTTGATCTCTGGATCTGGTCCGTTAATGTCAATATTGTAGGATCTTTTTGCATCTGTCGGTGCGATTGACATGGCACGCTTTGGGGGTGTCTCTTTAGAATCATCCGTTTCGCACTCAACGGCAGTGACTCCTGCAGGTATAGCTTGACCAGCTAGAACCGCGGTCGATAGATTTAACGGTCTAGTGTTCGTACTAGGTGTGGTCATCGCAGGGCTTGTCATGGCTTTCTCCGAGCAAAGAAAGCTTTCAGGAAATTCCTCGTCGACTGCCAAAAGAAATTAGCATGCTCCCGAGTCCTTATTGACAAATGTGTAAGATACATACAAAACAACTCGTAAACAGTGCGCTCGATGATCTCGGCCTTCTGATATGGCGTTATATCATATGCACTGTCGCCCTCAGCTGTCCTCTTGACTTGTTTGAACATTTCATTCAATTCGATTAGGTTTCTTTTTTCTTTCACTGCTCGAGCAACGATTTCGCGTTTGATGGATTTGTAGTCTGTCATTGTGGTGGATTGTTCGTGACTTTCGTATTCTTGAATGCGTAATGAGATGCAAAGAAAGCTACCCCGGACGTTGAAAGTGTTTGGTTGTGGAGAAATAGGAAGTGGAGAGGGTAATACGCGACAGTTTTGAAGAAAAAGCTTCACATTTCCCAAGTCCCGATTCCGCTTATTTATTCTGGTTCACCATCATGAATTGTTTGAGATTTGATCTAGAGAAATGTCAAGATGACAACAACATAGAGTCTAATTGTTGTGGATAAACTAGAGTAATTAAATATTATCGCAGAGAAGTAAGAAACATATGGTATCTTCCTTTCACATCTCCCGCAACGCCGAGGACCCCATCTCTCTCGATATAAGAGTGCCAAAGACCAGCAACAAGTAGATGTAACAAATCTAAAACGCAGATCCATTAACCATAGGTGTCAACTTCTCCGTAAACAAAGTCTTTCCCTTTACCATATTCACCACGAAACTAGGGAACTTCATTCCTCCCATATGACCTGTGCCAGCTTTTTTACCAATTGGAATCGCCAACATATCTGCAAAAGGGTCAGTAATTACCCATACACTCGTTTTTCATAATCAAATTTGGGGCAACTAACTCTTCTCTCCAACCTTATAGCCTAATGGCTCGGCAGCCTTCAATACCAAACCGATATTCTTCGCAACATGCACACTTTGCTTCTCTGCATTCACATACTGCGGTCGTTCAACAGCAGACACATCACCGACGACCCAAATATCCTTAGTATCCTTCAATCTCAAATATTGGTCCACCATTGCATATCCAGCTGGGTTGAGATATGTCTCAGGGATATATGCAGAATTTGGGATAACACCCATGGTCGGAATATACAAATCGGTAATGATTTTCTCGCCATTGGAAAGAGTGATTTCGTACTTTCCGTCGGGCGTTTTTGCTGAACCGGAAACCTTGGTGGAGACCTTAATGTTGACATGGAGGCTTTCTAGTTGTTTGGTGGCAGTTTTTGAGACACTCGCGGGAGTACCTTCAAGAACAGCGGGGCCACTTGCAATCTGACGATTGAAGTTAGTGACGTGGTATGGGTTCCCTCGATGGCTTACTTACCAGAGTAATATCCTTTGATGATCCATATGCGAAACCTAGCTCACCAGCTGTTTCGACACCTAATCGAATGAATCAGTATCGAGCTCTTCAATGGCTATAAGATAGTCAAAGAACATACCTGTCGCTCCAGCTCCGGCTACATAGATAGATGACGCACTCTCAACCTTGGATTGCCAGTCATGTAACAAGTCAAGCGAATCTTGATAAGAGCCCCTGCCCTTGAAAGGAGAATCTTCTTTGGTCCTTGAGCCGGTAGCAAGTATAAGGAAATCATAAGTCAAGCTCGATCTTCCACTATCTCCCGACACAACGACTGTTTTGTTATCCACATCCAACTGTTCAGCAGTACCGACGATAAATTCGAACTCGTCAGCTGTGTATTGTTTAAACCCTGTAGCTATCGAGGAGAACACTTTCTCATCTGACATCTCTCCTAGTATGATTGCTCGTATGGATGCAATGTTCCAGTATACGTGGGTATTGGGTGAAACCAAGGTGATTTTGACGGAGAGGCCTGCTTTGACTGATTGCTTTAGAATTCTATGTGCTGTACTGACTCCAGCATAAGATCCACCGAGGATGAGGATGTTCTTGAGAGGGGTCGTCATTATTCCGTTATGGAATAGTCCTTTATTATTTCCGGTGACTTGGGAACGAGATATTGATGTAAATAGGGATCGAGATAAAGGCCTTTGGAGATCGTGGGAGTAACCTTATTTGAACACTGAAATTGAGGGTCGAAAGGTGTTGTGATTTCTAGCAGAAATGAACAGGTTCTAGGAACCCAGACTTCTATATATACTTTCGCCATAGTCAACAAAAAAGGTAAAGGGACAGTGCTTGTGTAAGTTACTAATAATTGGTTTTGGATTTTGATATACATAACAAGCTTTGACTTCCAGCTTCGCTCCAGCCCCCTCGGTGCCAGAAAAACAATTTACCTCAGGGTTTATATTGCAACTTATCCTTTAGAGACTTATTAATTTGATAATTATGAATATTGAATGATACTCTTGAATACTATCTCTTCAGATTTAATTTTATTGATTTATATGAGAAATGTACTAATATTGAAGATTCTCACGTGATTTTTCAGAAAAAAATGTTTTGTTGTTGTGCATTGACCATTTGTAATCTAAAAGGTTAGATGAAAAGGAGTAAAGGAGTCCGAGAAACGGAGAAACGATCCGTGTGTGGTAAATAAGTAGGTAGCCAGGTTAGCCAATGAAAGAAAGGGTCTTACCGCCGCATGAGATCTGAAGATTCTGAACCCAATCATATATCATAAACCATACATCTTTCGCGACAACAATGTGTTGATTTCATGTGTTGATTTCCTGCCATCATGAATAAATCAAATAAATCATACGATGTTAATCTCACCCGATTCTTTTTCATTTCCCCATTTCCTTCCCCATTTCCCCTCACTCAAGATTCTTTTTCACTTCTGATTCATTTCCCCTCACTCAACAACATAGAATATTACAACAATATTACACTTCACTTCACTTAACATCATTTAATTTAATTTCAAATATCACCTAGAGTCTTTGATATCAACAATACATGTTTTTCTAACTCTAACAGACATTTCCTGCGCATCAGAGTTCAATACCATAACTTCCTTTTACGTACGTTGCGAGTTCACGGCTGCCAAATCCCCATTTGAAACACGATTGCGAGGGTTTGAGATAGAAGTAAAGACGGGACTACGTCTTTGCTATCGCTCGGACTAGATTTGGTGTAATATTATACTAACAAAATCTAGTATTTGATACATCCGCTCATCCGCTCCACCCAAAAACACTAGCTAGTATATCTAATACTACTGGTAATTCTTCAGCCTTCCAATTTACATTTGGCACATCTGCTCCATCCAAAGACATCAGCATGTCAGATACTAAGTCAACTACCCTACTTTCGGACCACCCCCCCTTTCGGACCACCCTTTTACACCAAAAACAGTAGTTTTTCGATATCTATAATTCTATCAATATTGAATATTATTATATAAAATTTAAACTATAGATTCTTTATATAGTTATTAGCTTGTTTACAACTTTTCAGATTTTTAGTAATTTTATA